AGAGGATAACAAATATAAGATTAAAATTAATGGGTTAAATCCTGTTTTTAAGAATAAATTAGGCAAATACCCTAAATCGACCAAAGATAAAGACGGCAAATATATTTTTTATTATAAACTTTTTTGAAAAGAAACTGAGAAAGATAAAAGACAGTTTGAAGCAGGAGATTTTATTGAAATAGAGGAAATAAAAAATAGCAATGGTCAGCACCCGCCAGTCCAAGGCAACGATAATAATCATAATCAAAATGGCAATGACCAAAACCAAGATAATAACCAAAACAACAATGGAAATAACGATAAAGACCAAAACCCTAAAAATGATAATGGTTCTAAGGATAATAATCCTGACAAAAATAAAAAAACTCCTACTTCTACTATTCCTAACTCAGTTAAAGAGTATTTTCGCGAAAACAAGGTCAAATCAATAGAATTAGAGGGAGAAAATTGAATAATTACTTATAAGGGGGATAATAAAACCAAAAAAACATTCAAAAAAACTGATGTTCCAAAATTGCACGGTTTAGAAAATTATTTGAAAACCAAAGGAATAACAAAACTTTCTGAGGAGGAATTAAAAAATAGTTCTAGTACTAATTCCTCTACTGGCAAAGATAATAAAACCAAATATTGACCTTGAATATTGGGAATGGGAGGAATACTGGTAATTGGAGTAGTCCTTTGAATGGTTCGTAAAAACCGAAGAAAAAAATAAATAACCTAGCGGTCTTCCGCATAACCTAAAATTAATATATGGCCATAAAATTTCATACTAAAAAAGCACTTGTCAAACGCATTAAAGTACTCTCCAAAGGCAAATTAAAATATTGACCGAATTATACTCACCACCATGCTTATAGTAAGTCCACCAAGCAAAAAAGACATTTACAGAAAAGTTCTCTGCTAAGCAATAGCGATTGAAAAAGACTGAGAAAGATGGTTAGTTGGTAAAAATGAACCAAAAACAAATTATCCCCAGATAGTTGTTGCATTAATTTTCGACCCCCTAAAACTGCCTTTTGGTTTTCCAATGATCTCTGAATGAATCTATTTGGAACTTGGATGAATTACGAAAGAAAAATGCCATTCTTGCCTTGCAAATTACTTAAAAAAAATTAGCAATTTATAAAATATCATGCCTGAATTACCCGAAGTCGAAACTGTCCGGCAAATTTTAATAAAAACTGGAATAATTGACCAGACTATCCAAAAAGTTGAGGTTGGCAATAGTAAATTAATTAAGGAAACCACCGAAAAAGAGTTTATTGATTTATTATTAGGACAAACTATTCATAAATTAGAGCGAAAAGGTAAATGATTGTTTTTTATTTTAGAGACCCATGTTTTAATTAGCCATTTAGGAATGACTGGGAAGTATTTTGTGGAGGAAAATTTACTTACTCCGGAACAAAAAGGGTCAATTAGTTTAATTTTCCACTTAGGCAATGGGAAAAAAATAATTTATTGTGATGCTCGCCGCTTTGGAAACTTTCGCTTACAAAATTTGTCAGACTATCAACAATTAAAACCTTATAAGAATATTGGAATTGATTTGCTTAATGAGCCAGTAAATATCAATTATCTATTTACTTGTTATCAAAAGCGTAAAGTCCCAATTAAAATTGCTTTGTTAGAACAAGATATTATTAGTGGCATTGGCAATATTTATGCTTCGGAAATACTTTTTGTTACCCATATCCACCCTTTAAGAAAAACTCACGAACTTACTTATTTAGAAGTGGAAAAAATAATCTCGGCGGCTCAATTAATTTTAAAAGAAGCCTTGAAATTAGGAGGGACTTCGGCTTTTGATTTCATTAACCCTCTAGCCCAAAAAGGTGATTATCAAACTAAATTAAAAGTTTACGCCCGAGCCAAAAAACCTTGCTATGTTTGTAATACCTTAATTGAAAATAAAGAAATTAACAGTCGGAGTACTTTTTTTTGCCCGCAATGTCAGAAATAAAATTTTTATCTGTTTCTATCAAAAACATTAAATGCAGGCAAATTTTAGAGGAAATACTAATCATTAAATGCTTCAGATGACCATTAGTAAATAAAAAAAGAGAAAAATAAATTAAATGAAAATACTCGCCATTGGTGATATATTTGGCAAACCTGGTCGTCAAATTATTAGAAATTACCTTTCTGAATTAAAAAAAAAACATCAAATTGACTTTGTGGTAGCTAATGTGGAAAATGCTACTCATGGTAAAGGAATATCTAAGAAGCATTATAAAGAATTAAAGTTTACCGAAGAAAAAAAAATCTTGATCGATGTCATGACTTCGGGTAATCATATTTTTGCTATTGAAGAGACCAAAAAACACATTAATGAAGTCCCTGACTTGTTAAGACCACTTAATTTTAATCCCTACCATCCGGGGCCGGGAACCATTTTGACCAAGGTTAAAGGTAAAAAAATTCGAGTTACTAATTTAATTGGCAATAACTTTATGCCTAACGCCCCTCAAAATCCTTATTTTGCTTTGGAAAAAGTATTAAATCTACAAGACTGAGATATTCACTTAATAGACTTCCATGCTGAAACTACCGCAGAAAAAATTGCCTTAGCTTTGTATTTTGATGGTAAAATAAGTGCTTTGTGGGGAACTCACACTCACGTTCAGACGGCCGATGAAAGAATATTACTAAAAGGAACTGCTTTTATTACTGACTTAGGAATGACGGGTCCCTCAGAAGGGGTTATTGGTGCCAAACCGGAAGCAATTTTTCGGCGAGCCAAATATGGCTTTCCAGCCAAAATAGAACCCCATGAAGATGAGAAAGGCGAAGGGCAATTTAATGGAGTTATTTTTGAATTCGATGATAACAGCAATAAGGTAATAAGTATTAAAAGAGTTAATGAGGTATATAAAAACAAGTGGAGCACCTAATTTCGCTAATTTACTTATTCTGAACTTTTAATAAAACAATATTAATAATAATATGAATTTCCATTGAACATATCAAGTTCCCAATAAAGGTTGATGGGCTAATTATCGCTGGCATTTAACTGCACCAAGTGAAAAATTAGGATTAGAATCTAATGAGTGAGAGAAAACTTCTTTTCGAAAAGGATATCAAGGAAAAATATTAAGGGTGGAGGGAGTTGAAAATGCCAAAAAATGTTTGCAAGCTTTACAAAACTGCACCATTACTGCTTTTGGTGGTCGATTTCGCGGAGTCAGTTATGATAAAAATGCGAAGTCAATAATTAAACAGGCCAAAAGGTCGTTAAAAGCAGCAATTAAGAGGCAGGTGAAAGGAGAAAATATTAATATTCGAGAAAGTGCTATCACTCCTCCTTCTTATTATAATTGAGGAATAATTTTTGGCATTAGCGGAGCAATAATTTTTGTTTTTAGTCTATTTTTGTATTTATGTTTTAAAAAAAAAACTAAAAATAGTTTATAAATATAAAGTAATAAAAGTTAAAAAAACAATCATGAGTATACCAGTTAGTCAGCAACATCAGTTAATTAAAAAATACTTCAATTCGTTAGTCAAAGAGTTCATTACTGATCCACTTCACAATAAGGATATTAGCATAGTTTTTGTAGACCATTTAAAAAGTTCGAAACCAGGTTCCACAACCATGGGTCACACTCAACAATATTCACGAACAACCTGATATGAAAACGTTCCTGGTTCTGAAAGGACTACTTACTGATATGTGGTTACTTTTTTAAATAGTTACAAAGATGAAAATGATTTGCGAAGCACAGCAGTCCACGAATTTGCTCACCTCTATCTCTATGCTACCATTGGTGGCAAGCATGACCACGATAAACGCTTTTATTCTACCATGGAATTTATGGAAAATTGACTGAATAAAAACCAAGGGCTAAGCCCTCGAGTTGATAAAAGTCGCGACTATGATCAGTATGAGGACAATCACAGCGAGAAAGTCGATAACCAAGAAAATACTTGTCCCGAATGTTCTTATCCCCTTCCGAATCATTCTCCTCAATGTTCGCCAAGTTTCAACCAGCCTCACCCCCACCCTCCTAAACCAGGTCAAAACCAAAAACCAGATATTATCAATGACCTCCAAACGGCAACTGAACTTGACCGTCTGAAAAAATTGTTAAATTCTAGCCAAAATCTGTCTACTCTGGAATCTATCTACCAAAATGAAATAAAGTCTAACCCTCTTTATCAAGGAAAGGATAATCAGAAAACATTAGATCATGTATATGAGTTGCAAAGACACCTTTTGCAATTTTCAAGCAATAATCGACTTTCCTCAACTAATGGTCTTAATTCTGCCAATAAAAACAAATTAGGCAGTAGAGAATATTTCCTAATTGCCTCAGTAGCAATGATAATTGTTCTTACAGTGCTAATTGTTTATTTATTAATGTCAGAATCAAACCCTTCCAAGTCCAAGAAAAAGAGAAAGTTGAAATAAAAAAATACCGTGCCCCTAGAAAATAAAATCCAACTTTGCTATATTAAGGTGGAAGACTTGTGAGAATGAATAAAGGAAAACCAACTTCTCACCCAAGACTTTACTCAGGAAAAGAAGAAATGAGCCAAGGAAATCAGCCAACCACCTAATTTTTTTTCAGATACTGAATTATTATTAATTTATCAAGATACTTTTCTTTTAAAAACACTTACTGACAGTCAAATGGCTTTTTTAGCTAAAACCTACCAGTTGGAAGGTCAAAAGGTTTGCCAAAAACTTTTTCAAGCAAAAAAAAATATCATAATTATTAGTAATAAACAATGAAAGTTAAGAGAGTTAGAAAATAACGAAAAAGCAATCGTTTTGTTCAAAGATAAAGAAGACATTGAAAAACAACTTGTTAATTGGTTAAAAGAAGTAACTAATTAGGTATGGGAAACTCATGCATTTTACAGGTTAATCTCCTCAATTTTTTTCAATAACCTAAAATCATTTTTTAGTTTTTGAAAGTTAGTTAAAAAGTCTACTTCTTCAAAATCCTTTAAAATTAAAAAATTAGTAAATTTTTCTTTGATTTTTTCCAATTCTGCTTGGTAAACAATTTGACTAGTTAATAAGCATTTTTTATTTTGATAAGTAGCAACATGATACTTATCACCTTGACTATTAATGGTTAGCAAACTAATAAAATTGCCGATTCCTCCCATCTGAAATAATAAACTATCTAAGTGGTAAATTTTAATTTGTGAGTTAAGTGCTTGACAAGTAGCCAAAAAAGCCAAACCGACTCTTAATCCAGTCTGTCCACTAGGATGAGAAGTAAAATAAACTTCCTTTATTTCCTTTAAAGTATGATTAGTTTGGGAAAGTATTTGTTGTAGATGAGTGGAAAAATTTTCTGAATGTTGGCGTATATTCTCTTTTTGGATGCTAACTAAGCACTCCTCATTTTCCAATAGAGCCAAGAAAAGAAAAGAGGAGGAAAGACTAAAATATAGGCGAAGCATTAAAAAGTTGGAATTTCAATTATGGCAGTGTCATTAACAATTTTTAATATTGTCATTTTACTAAAAATGGTCGGAACGGCGAGATTCGAACTCACGATCCCCTGGTCCCAAACCAGGTGCCTTACCACTAGGCCACATTCCGAAAGTTGTTTTACCTCCTTATTAATATTTTTTAACTTTCTTCCCTTCTCTTTAGTTTTTTGTTTAATGAATTCGTAGAGGGAATTGGTGTTATTTGTTTGCATTACTTTTAACTAATTTTTCCTCCAAGAGGTTTTTAATTCTTACTGCCGAATCCTCCGGGGAGGAAGAATCGCGAGGGAAAATAATTAACTCAATACCCTTCTCCTCGCATAATTTTTTGGTGGCTTCCAATAGAAACTGCTGCGTTTCAAAATTTTTTAAAAATTCTTCATCATTATCAGTTGAACGATTCCTATTTTTTAAAGAATTAAGTCAATCTTCTTTATCTACTTCAAAAAAGACGGCAATATCAGCATCCGGCAACACTTCTTTGTCGATTTCGGCAATTTGTTTCATTACCGAAAAATAACGATTGGAGGGAGAAATTAGTCAACGCATACAATATTTATCAATATAATAATATAATAATTTATCATAGTAGGTATCAATAAAAACTGTTTCTCCTTGTTCACTTAGTCTTTGAGCTTCTAAGAGCATGGGAACGCGAATTGAACGAAACCACATGAGCATCGAAAAACTACCATAAGTTTTTCAGTCCTTGGCCGCATCGGCTCATTTTTCTTCCTCGGGCTCAGCAAAATACTTAACCTTCAATAAAACCGACAACTCCTTGACGATGCTTGACTTTCCAGAACCAGGAATACCAACAAATACAATTAACATTAATTATATTTTTGAGATATTATTTTTATCCACCACCTCATAACCAATTTTTAAATTACTCTTATTATCTTTATCTTTTTTAATATTACGAAGCACAATTTCACCAATTTTAAAAGTATTTTTGACATAAGTGTCTCCACACGGATAAGATTTGTTAAAACCGGCAAAACTAACGGTTCTTGCTTTTTCCTTTCATTCTACTAAAACCGAAAGTTTATCCTTTATTTTTTTGGCGGAGATAGAGGGATTCGAACCCCCGCGGATTTTACTCCCTAACAGTTTTCGAAACTGCCCCCTTTGGCCACTTGGGTATATCTCCCTAAAAACCTAATTAGTGTTTTTTATAATTCATTTTTAGTCCAGATACCAAAAATATATGACAATAAAAGTATTGAATGGCACGTAATCATTATCTAAACACCCGGGAGCATTATATCAGTTTCATCAATGGTTTCTTGTATTACCTAAACTCATTCCTTGTTTAATATTAAAGAAAGAAAACCTAACTTTTTCAGATCAAATAATATCAATTAGTTTTTTGTTTCCTAAATCTTGGCAAAAGGGAAAGTGGAAGGTTTATCTTTTCATAAACTAGTTTTAACCTCTTTTTATTTAATAATAATAAAATTATTATCTGATGATTATTGATTATTAGATTAGGTATTAAAGTTGATAACAGGATTGATAATCAATTTAAAATTATAATATAAGATGTGAAGATAAATAAAGTTGGTAGTCTTCAAAAACAACCCAATGGAACTTATTACTGATTAAAAGATAGTTGATGACCCTTAAAGAAGAGAAGTGGTTATTTTGTGGCTATTCGAGGGTTTAAAGGTTATTTAGGAAAAAACGAGTATGCTGGAGTCTGGCAAGATCCGAAAACTAAGATTGCTTATTTAGATGTCGTTATTTGAGTTCTTGATGAAGAAACAGCAAGGAAAATAGGAAAAATTAAGAAACAATTAGCAATTTGAGATATTAAACAACGAAAAGAAATTTGAATCTATAACTAATATGAGAAAATGCAATATTTGTGAGAACAATCTCCATTATCCTTTTATGGCTAACTATGAATTAGGGAGATTTATTTGTCAAAATTGTTTAGAACAAAGAAAAGAGTTAGTAAAAAAGGAAACTGATAATTGGAGGAGTAAAATAAAATCGGAAAATAGAGTATTAAATTAGTATGTCACAAGCAATTAAATGTAGTAAAAATAATCCTTGTCAAGGATATAAGAATGAATTGCAAGAAAAGTTAAAGGATTGTAAAGACTGAGAAACCAAAAGGAAAGGATATATAAGAAGTCGTTTTCCTTTTCATAATGAGGAAGAAAATAAAGTTAAATCTGAAATAGGAGAATGCAATATTTATTTTAGTTTCTGTCATATTTTGCTGTATACAGATGTAAATAAACTAATAACCTAAAACTATAATATATGTCAAAATATCTTGGTCCAGTTTTAAAAAAGCTTCGAGCATTAGGTCTTCCTTTGCCACGGTTCAGAAACAAGGGAAATAATCCGCCCGGGCAACATGGAGCCAAACGGAAGAGAAGAAAATCTTCTTATGGGTTAAAATTACAAGAAAAACAAAAAGTCCTTTATAGTTACGGTTGACGTGACAATCAGTTAAAGAATGAATACATAAAAGCAAAGGCCAAGGTTGGTGATACCGGAACTAACCTTTTAATAGGTTCAGAATCACGCCTAGATAATTTAATCTTTAGGTCTGGGCTGCTCAACACGATTGGTTTTGCTCGGGAATGGGTCAGTCATGGTCACTTTTTAGTCGATGGCAAAAAAATAAATATTCCTTCTTCTAAAATAGAACCTGGACAAGTTATTAGTCTAAAAAAAGAAAAAATGAAAGAAAATAAACTTGTCAAAGATAATTTGGAAAAAAATCTAAAATTTCCGCCCTATCTTGCTTTTGATAAACAAAAACTAATTATTACTTACTTACGTTATCCAACCAAAGAGGAATTAAGTAAAGATATTGACACTTCCCTGATAGTAGAATGATACAACCGAAAAGTGTAATTTTGGAGTAGGCACAAAAGTCGCAGAACTTTCTGAAAAAAACGATCTAGGAAAATTTTTTGACTAAGTCGACTTGTTTTTGTGTTAAAAACTTATTATATAATAATTACTTAACTATTTATATAAAAATGGATGCAAAAAGAGAAATTATTTTAGCGATAAAAAATTTTCAGAAGCAGGTAGAGGATAAACTTTTGTCCGGAAGAGCCTCGAAAAAAATAGTGGTATTTAATAAAAGAGTAGAAAATGCCATTAGTAAATTATCTTCTGAGGTTAGAGATTTTCAGGAAGAAGGGCAAATGACATTATTGAGGGAAAAATTAGAGAAAAGTGTTAAGCAAGTAGAAGGAATGATAAAAGTATCAAAACATAATTTTTCTTCTGAAAGTGAGTCCAAAATTATCCTCAATTCAAATGATTTAAACTATCTCGATTCAGAACCAGGAGAAAGCAAAAAACTTGCCTCAATTATTTTAACAAGAGAAATTATAAAGGATTTGCTTGCTTTTCCAGAAGAAAAATGAATAAATGATTTAGAAAATCAATTCAACCTGCTTAAAAATAAATTGTCCACATTAGATAGTTCACTCAATCCAAAAGCAAAAAAAGAACTAGAAAACTTATTTTTTGCCAACACTATACGCGATTTTTCTTTTGACCCCGAAAGTGTTTTAGTCAAAAACAAAACAGAGGAAATTTTTCAGAAAGTTGAGAAATTTAATAAAAAAAAGGCAAATAGTATAAATAAAAGTATTTTGAAAAAACAAATCTCTGAAATTTGACAAAGTTTAAGTTATATTGAAGCCTTAGGAAAGCAATTCAAATCTAAGTTTTTTGATAATAAAAGTGAAATTTTAAGTTTTAATGAAGAAACGGGCATGGATAGTGGGGATTTTAATGCAGCTTTTTTTGATTCTCGCCCTCTTTTATCAGAAGGGGAACTTGATGAAGATATTGAAGAAATTAGTATTCTCCCAGTAATTTATTGAAAGGAAAATAATGAGTACATTGTTCCATTTAAAGCTTCTACGGTTAGGAATGATGTTAAAAAATTCAAAAAAGTTGGACAAAATAAGCCTGAAACTGAAAAAAATAATAATAAAAAACCACTTAGTGAAATAGAAGGGTGGAATAGTTTATCCCCGCATGATCGGAATAAATTTTCCGCAGATTATGAGAGTGGAAGCAAAGATTTTGAAAAAATAAAATTGGAGATAGAAAGACAAAGAAAGGGCGAAAAAGTTAAGGAAAAAACCAATAATGAAAACAGTAAAAATAAACCTTCTACCCCTCCTAAGCAAAAAAACAAAGAAAAAACCACTGCTGGCAGGCAACAAAAATTATCTCAAAAAAAGAACAAAGTTATTACCGAGATAAATTCCGCTCTGAACCAAGAACCTCAACTTACTAACAGCGAATTAAGTCCGGAATATCAAAATTGGGAAAGTCAAATCAACCAAATAACCGATATCCAGCAAATTACCCACCTCCAAGATAGAATATTAGCTGATATCAAGGCTCGTCGAAAAGATAAAAAAATTGCTCAGAAAGTAAAGGAAAACCTAAATAAAGCCCGCACCGGAACCAAAGAGGAAAAAGAACAAGCTTGAAAAGACTTAGAAGAACAAGAAACCGAAAAAGGTTATAATGATAATAAGGAAGAAATAGAAAATTTAAAAAAAGAAAAGGCAACTAACAACCCGCAGGAGTATGGTGAAGAGGCTAAAAAAAGAATTGCGGACAAATTAAAAAGTTGTGGCGTTAACGAGGAGGAATTAAGTAATGAAAATCAGCAAGTATTAAAAAAACTAAGAAATGATGAAATTAACGATCCTGACCGGTTAGTAGCGGCCGAGACCGAAATTAAACAAAATATTTATCAAGTAGCAGCGGAAAAGAAAATAGTTGACTTAACTACGCGGGTAAATAAAATTCTCCAAGCCAAAGATAAATCGCAACTTGCTACTCTCAAAAAAGAATTATTGCAATTTATCAGTAGCAGTAATATTTACTACACTTCCCACAAAAAGGAAGTTAAAAGTTTATTAGCCAAATTGGAAAATTACTCGACTAATAACCAACAGAGTAATAGTAATTCAGCAACTAAATCCGATAACTTTCCTTGAAAAGTAGTTATTCCTCTCTTGCTGATTGGGATATTATTGCTAATAGTGTTGACAATCTGAACTAAAAAAATTGTTCGAAGAAGAAAAAGAAAAAAATAAGTTTATAGAATACTTGATGTGAATAAGGAATTAGAAATTAAAATTATTGATTATTTAAAAAGGCTAGAAAAAAATGAAATTTCTCCTCCGATAGATAGTAAAAAAAAAAGCCTCTTGCTAATTAGCAAAATTGAATATGAAAAATTAGACCAAGAGCAAAAAGAATATCAGGATCTAAACCGGGAATTGAATAAAGAGGAACAAAATTTACTTTTGACAGAGATTAAAAGTCTCGAAAACAAAAAAGCAGAATTAATTAACCAGATTAAGGAACAAATAATTGGAGAGGAAGGAGATAGTCAAAGTATTTTAATGGAAATCCGTCCGGGACCAGGAGGAGATGAGGCAGGTTTGTTTGTTCGTGATTTATACCGGATGTATGAAAAATTTGCCGGGAAAAAAGGTTGGAAAGTAGAGATGGTTGAAGGAAAGGTGGGGGCGATAGGTAATTTCGATTTTGTTTCCTTTTTTGTGAGGGGAAAGGGAGTCTTTAAACATTTAAAAAATGAAGTGGGGGTACACCGCGTTCAAAGAATTCCGGTTACAGCAAAAGGAGGAGAAATCCACACCTCCACCGCTACCGTGGTGGTCTTACCAGAGCCCCAAGATATAGTTCTTAATATTCGTTCCCAAGATTTAAAAGTTGAAACTTATAGTTCTGGTGGACCAGGAGGACAACATGCTAACCGAACCGCATCAGCGGTGCGAATTACTCACCTACCGACTAAAATAATAGCAACTTCCCAAGATGGTCGCGACCAACGAGTTAACCGCGAAAGAGCCTTGTTGGTTCTCAAAACCCGGCTCTTAGAAAAATTGCAGGCTGAAAAAGAAAAAGAAGTAGGTAATTTACGTTCCTTTGCAATTGGTACCGCCGAGCGTTCGGAAAACTTCCGTACTTATAATTTTCAAAAAAACCGGGTAACCGACAAACGTTTAGGAATAAAACTAGAAAACAAACTCGAATTTGTTATTGAAGGAGGCTTAGAGGAAATATGTCAAAGGTCAATTGATTACGAGGTGGAAAAAAGAATAATTTAAAAATTTAGGATATTTAGGAGAATTAAAAAAGTATTAAAATTAGTTAA